GAAGCACTGTAGACCAAATAAAGAAAAACTCTAGTTCAGAAATTGTTAAAAAGCTCAAGATAAGTTATGACGGGTTGGAGCCCGAAGAGCAAAAGATATTTCTAGATATGGCATGTTTCTTCCGAGGAGATGAAAAAAAAGTAGTCATTGAAATCCTTGAAAGTTGTGATTTTGGAGCTGAATACGGATTGGATGTCCTGATTGACAAATCTCTTGTGAACATTTCCAAAAATGATAGGGTTGAAATGCATGACTTAATTCAAGATATGGGCAGATATGTGGTGAAAATGCAAAAAGATTCGGGAAAACAGAGCAGACTTTGGGATGCTGAAGATTTCGAAGAGGTGATGGTCAATAATACAGTAAGTAGGCTTCAATTTCTGGTCTTCAAGTCCAATTATTTGTTCCTCTTGCTTCATATTCTTGCAAGTGCACCATTTTAGTTATTTACTTTAACAGGTGAAGCAACTAAGCAAAAGTAACACTTATTGCCTAACATAGCTAATTTGTCAAGTAGCCATTATTAATTAACAATGCCTAATTAATTTATCTTTTGTTATCAAGCCATGAATCAGTCTAGTAGTCGCTTAATATGTTTAATCCGATTTCATTTTTTGGATTAACTTGAAATTTGTATGATATTTTGTATGTACTAAGTACTAACTCAATCAGTAATATCACCCAAATATTTACCTTGAATAACGTTTTATTAATAAACATAATCAAATGGAAAGAATACAAGCAAGGAAGGCCAAAACTTACCTTAACAATCCTCAGTCTGGATTTCACTTGATCATTGATCATTTTTTAGTTAAAAGATGACAATTATTGGTACCGTTTCAATTACAATTTCATTATATCCCAACATGAACTTTTTTCCGACTTGACTCTAAAGAACTTCTCAAAAAGTTTAATATTAGAAAATAGAATTGTAGAATGAATTGCATAAAGCATTTCCCTTAAGCGATACATATTTTTTTGCTAGCTCTTCAAGAACCTCAAGTGCAATAATAAAACATGATGAACTTTGGCATTGCAAGGAGTGGGAAAGTAGTCATACTGGTATGCAGATTTTGTACAGATGTTTGAAGTTTTACTTTGTAGACTAATGATCCTTTTATCAGGGGACAAAATCTATGGAAGCAATCTGGCTACAACGTATTCAAAAGCTACGCTTTAGCAAAAAAGCCATGAAAAAAATGATAAAGCTAAGAATATTACACATCGGTCATTTTGTACCTGACCAACTGTTCGCGTTAGCAAATGATGACTCCATTGAGTACCTGCCCAACAGCTTGTGTTGGTTTGATTGGCATGGATATCCTTGGGAATCATTGCGAGAAAATTTTGAACCTAAAGGACTTGTTCATCTTGATCTCCAGTACAGTTTTTTGCATCATTTATGGATTGGAACAAAGGTACAATTGCTGAATTCAATTTATTTTTCTTTTGGTCAAATACTCACAGACACTCAAAACTGACTACAACTGTCAGATAGACATCTTAACTATTCTAGTGACCATAGATGCCTGGTTGTTCCTGTTTTCCTATCTCATTCTTTCTGTGTTCTGAACATATAACAGCATTTGCCATTTCTACGAAAGCTAAATCTCAGCTTTTCTGGAAGCCTGAGGTGGACACCAGATTTCACGGGGATGCCAAATTTGGAGTATTTGAATCTGATGGAATGTAAGAGTCTTGAAGAGGTTCACCATTCCCTGGGATGTTGCAGTAAACTCATTGAGTTAGATTTGGATGGTTGTAAAATCCTTAAGAAGTTTCCATGTGTTAATGGGGAGTCGCTTGAATCTCTATACCTATATGGTTGCTCTAGTTTAGAGGAATTTCCAGAAATCCTCGGAAGAATCAAGCCGGGGTTAGAAATTAAGGTGAAACGTTCTGGGATAAGGGAACTACCATCATCTATTCAGTACCTAACTCATATTACCAAGCTAGATTTGAGTTCTCTGGAAAACCTTGTAACTCTTCCGAGCAGCATTTGTAAGTTGAAAGGTTTGATGGAGCTAAATGTGTCGTACTGCTTAAAACTTGAAAGCTTTCCAGAAGAGATAGGTGATTTAGAAAACTTGAAGGAGCTTCATGCCACATTCACTCAAATTTCACGACCTCCGTCTTCCATTGTCCGCTTGAACAAGCTTAAATCCTTGACTTTTCAAAAATCAGAAGTAGGCCTCGAAGATAGAGTTCTCTTTGTGTTCCCTCAGGTGAATGAAGGATTAAGCTTATTGGATGTTCTGCGTCTCGATTACTGCAATCTAATTGATGAAGGACTTCCGGAAGACATTGGATGCTTATCCTCTTTGAAAATGTTGAATCTCAGTGGAAATAACTTTAAACATTTGCCTCGAAGCATAGCCCAACTTGGTGCTCTTCAATCCTTGGACTTATCATATTGCAAGAGGCTTAAAGAGTTGCCAGATTTTATGGAGATGCAGAATTTGAAGACTTTGAATCTGTCATATTGTAAAAATCTTGAAGAGGTTCATCATTCCGTAAGATTTCTCAAAAACCTCCATACATTAATATTGACTAATTGTATACAGCTTAAGAGGTTTCCAGGTCTGTGCATTGATTCTCTTCGGTACTTATGTCTACGGGGTTGCTCTAGTTTAGAAAAGTTTCCAAAATTCCTTAGAAACACGATAGTGGAGTCGGAGATTTACATGCTAGAAAATGTGATGAGGGAACTGGAATTTCCACTTACCTTTTCTCAGGAAATCGTTTCCTTGTCACAAAGAGTGTTTAGCATTGTGCTTGGTGGGAATAAGTTTTCCTTGCAGCAAATCCCAAGTTGGTTCCACCATCGGGGAATGGATAAAAGTGTATCAGTCAATTTGCCTGAAAATTGGTACGTACCTGATAACTTCTTGGGATTCGCTGTATGTTACTCTGGCCGCTTAGCTGATTACACAACAGCTCACTTGATTCCCTTATGTGATGATGATGGGATGCCATGGAAACTAGATTTTTTCTACCTTCCAGAAGGTAGAGGTAGATTTTCTACTATTCATTTATTCTTGTTACCTCTCGCTAGCTTATGGGATACATCTAAGGCAAATGGAAAAACACCAAATGACTATGGGCTTATAAGGTTATGTTTTAAAAGTAAAATCAAGAGAACTAACTTCTGTCTGCGCTATTATGTCAGCCAATCTTAACTTTTCTCCCAGGCACTAATCCCGATGTAACTTTTAAAAATCATCTCACTACCCAGAAAACCCACCGGTGGTCCTTCTGACCATCAGAATTCCATCTCTCTCTTTCTTTCTTCTTCCAAATTGCCTCCATCACAACCTCCTTCACCCTATTGCGACCCTACCCCAAAAATACCCATCCTCAAAAAACATCTCACGCGCTCCCACGCGCCTCCTTTCTCCATCAGAATCCGACGCCACGCGCCTCACGTGCCGTCGCGAGGGACCCCAATCGTTTTCACAGGTCATCAGAATCTTCTTTTCCGGCAATAATCCTAACGAAGGAGGGCAGAACCCCCTCCGGCGACCTTCTGTCACCGGAATCCTCATTCCTTTATTTCTTTCTCTTCCCTTTTCTCCCACTCCCAACCTTTCCTTTCCCTTGTACTTCTTGAAATGGAGGAAGATATGATCTTTTTCGCAATGGGTTTCAAGTCTTTTGATGTAGCAAGAGATGTATCTCGAGCAGAGACATGGTATGACTGGACTGAGAAAGGAAGAAGAATGATGAGCAGAGCAAGCTTTAGTCAAAAAACGATGGAATGGATTTGTTCGATTCTCAAGGAAGCGTCAAAGGTGAAAGGAAACGTAGTCAGAAGATGGAAAAGGCAGGAGCATGTGTCAAATGTATTTTGTGCAAGGAACTTTAACAACAAAGGGAGATATATAAGCATTATCAACATACAAGGAAAGAACAGAGCTGTAATAATAATTCCTGAAATCACATTCAATGCTGGTTGGTGGGACTTGGCCACCAAAATTGAAAAATTCATTAATGACAAAGCTTTTAAGACACCTAGTAAGAATTACAAGATGTTTGATAAAGAGATATCATATGCAGAAACTATCAGGAGGAGCAAATGGTCTTCTAGAGAGATCGAGACAGCCATCATAGAGGAGGAAGGAAACACCATCATTATTGACGGAGAACCCGACCAAAATCAAAATGAACTCTTAGGGAGAAGTCTCGTTGGCAGATTTCCAGAAAATGGAACTGAGAACCCAACCCTGTCGGAAGTTCGTAGATGGGTGAGCAAAAACTGGACCCAAACTCATGGCATCAACATCTACGAGATGGGACACAATCACTTCCTTTTTGAATTCTCTTCCATCACTGTTGCTGAGCATATTCTCAGAGGAAGATGGCTATGGATGAACCAGAGCATACGGCTACAATGGTGGACGCCGACTGTGGGTGCAACTCAATCAAGAACTAAAATCAATCATTCTTGGATCAGATTGGTGGGCCTCCCTCTACATCTGTGGTCACAAAATGTGTTCAAAGCAGTAGGAGATTTTTGTGGGGGTTGGGTGAAAACAGAGGAGGAGACGGAACTACGCAACCACCTCAAATGGGCAAGAATTCTTGTCAAAAACAACGAAAAGCCCATTCCGAAGGAGAAGGAGGAGACGGAACTACGCAACCGCCTCAAATGGGCAAGAATTCTTGTCAAAAACAACGAAAAGCCCATTCCGAAGGAGGTGAAGGTAGCTTTCGGGGGGCATGGTTTTATCTTACAAATATGGGATGAGACACCGACGAGGTTCTTCGTCGGAGAAGAAGACCTCGAGGTCGTAGGTGACGGGAGGGCCAAAGTCTCGATCCAGCAGGTAATACCCAAGGGAGGGGCAGCGAAATCCACGCCCTTGACAGCTGGGGGCAGGAATAATCACGTGGGGTCTTCAAAAGTTTTTGAATTCTTTAAAGGGGCACGTGCCCTGGAGGAACATAAAGGAAAAGGAAAAGAAATCAAAATGTTGGGCCCAGACCCACTGGCCCAACATGGTTTGATTCTACCTTAAATAGTAGATTATCGGCTCCAACTCCACCTCGTGCTATCGAGACAATTAGCTGGAAGAAGGTAAGGCATGAAAAAGCACACAAGCACCTTGCTTTGATCCAAGTAGTACAGCAAATCATGTTTGTATTCTTCTACCAGGCAGCTGAATATTTCCAAAAGCTTCTTCATGAACTAGAGATCATATGTTTCTACAGTTTAGATCCAGTCTTTGAAGGTGTTTTACGATTTGTGGTCGAGTTTCAAAAGTTTCAACCAGAATTGGTTGCTAGAGCTCATCTCCAGGTAATTTATAGCACATATAAATTCTGCATGCGTCCATTCATGAACATTGTGCACATCAATTTTGCCTGTTCTAATCTTGTTAATTCAATGACTTAGTCCCTGAAATGGGAAGCTGATGTAGGCAACTCTTAGAACATCCCACATTAAGTTGCTGTCTTTACTCTTGTAGTCCAAAGAAGAATTTGTGCAGGGAGAGGAATACTAAGTATTTATGTAATCCTAAATCATCGTCGCCCGTCGGTGTATAGACCCAAAGTATGGATCGTAGAGTTCAGAAAAAGTTATTTCTTAAATTTAGGCCTAGTGATTAAGCCATGAAGTGAACTGTACAGGATTGAAGGTTTTTATTTTTCTGCTCCCAAAGTCAATGACTTTGCTAACATATGCACAGAGGATAACTCACATTTTCATGTTAATGCATCTTGGTATTTGTGGTGATGACGTGATTGGAAGTTTATCCCAGAACAAGGATCTCTGTTAAGCTATTATGCTCATCTTTTCTCTACAAGTTTTTGGGAACTCAGATGTTTAAATTTAGTTAATGTTTTTGCATAATATTTAGTTATTATTGGGCCATCTTATGACTGAATAAGCCTTGTAGTTATGGTGCAAAAGGTTGGCATTAGCTTTTCGAGTTATCAAGAATCAACAAAGATATTTTCTATCTGAATTCACATGAAGAAAAATATGTCACCAGAAGATTATTCATTCATCAGCCGTCCAGAGGGGTGGTTGTGGGGTTGAGGGTTCATAACTTATGGCTCATATACTGGTTATGATTTGCCTTCTAATCTTCTATTGTATGTAGCAGAATTTGTGATCCAAGTTCATTTTTTTTAACTTGTTGAACTTTAAGATATATTTTATCTTTTCTCAATGACATTCTCATGTGAAAGACTAATCAACAGCATTTGCTGGTTCAAGATGGGAAGCTTTATGGGCGTGACTCTGTCTTTGCTGTGATTTGTAAAGCTTCTTTGTTACCTGAGGTGGCGAAGAACCATGATATTCAGAAGAACGAAACTGTTGTACAGCTTGGGCAAGTAAGCATGAGTTTATTAAAGGGAGACTTTCTATGTCCAGAGCTTCTGATAAAAAATCTATCCTCAAATTTTTCTGTGCCTATTGGTACTCGTAAAATGTCAAACTGATCTGTTTTGGGTTTTATTTGTCGCCTAATTGGCTAGGTTTCTGCTTTGATCAAATTCCTTTTGCCTAGTCTATTTAATGAGATCTGTCACCATTAAAAACATGCTTTTGTCTAAAACAGTTGTTAATCACTTTGCTTCGAGTTCTTTGTACCAACATTTCGTGGCAAAGGCGTAAACTTGGAAAGATTTTGCAAGATTGGCGCATCATACACGTACAGGTTTGAACAGTATACACTTGTTGAAATGCCGTTTCTTATCCCATTTGTACTTCTATTCTTGTGTATTTGCCTCTTTCTTTTTTTATCGTGATCATTACTTTTATACATTTTGTGGCCTGCGTCTTAGATTCCTCCATGTTCGGATGCTAAAGCAGAATTAGAATTTGAACTCTTCGCTTGTTCAAGTTGGCAGATAAAAAAACGTATACTGAGTAAACCACAGTCCTTCAAATGTTTTCTTACTTAGATATAAGCATGATGATTGGTGCGGAATGCAAGTGGAATATGAACAAATATCTGTCTTTATGATGGTCTACATAGGTGTGTTTTTCCTAAGGTTGTATTGAAATCCTGTGCCTTGGACATGGTAAGTTAAAATAAGTTAACTGCTGATAGATGCAGGATGCATCTGTTAAGGTGTTAGTGGGAATCAATTTTATTAACAATATTCTTTTGCTGTTAAAGAGTAGATATACAACGTAGAATTTACTCAAATGTGTATGTTTTGCCCTTATGTGAGAGTAGTACTCATTTTAGTGAATTGATATTTGTATCAAATCTTAGTCGCTAGCTTATTGATCTTTAGATGTTTTCTTAGAGATTTGTATTAAAAAGGGGCAACTCAATCACTAAGTGCCTGCTATGCCCAAGATCTAGGGAAGGGTTAGACCACATTGGGTTAATTGTAGGCAGAGACTTACCTTGCATTTCCGTAAGAGGCTGTCTCCATGGCTTGGACCTGTGACCTCCTGGTCTCACGGAGAGAACCCTTTCTGTTGTGCTAACACTCCCCTTCTTGTTTGGTGATTTCTATACCTTTAGAAAATGTAGAGAACCTCTAGTTGTAGAGAACCTTAAATTGTCTTAAAAGACGAATTATTGAGTTAGGTATCAAAAGGACCCAAAGGGAGTGAATGGACATTATGTTGGGTTAGAACAATACAAAGGTATTCTTAAAGTGGGATTCAAAGTTGGTAATGGAAGGAAAATATCCTTTTGGAATGATAACTAAGTTGGGGATACACTGAAATACCTATTTCCAGAATTACACAACCTATCCTTTTTCCAATTCATGGAAAGATCATCAAAAAGTTGGATGCTATCAGAAGAAACTTTCTTTGGCAAGGTAATGGTGAAGGGGGGAAGAAGCATCACTTGATCAAGTGGGAGATTGCTATAACCAACAAAAAAGAAGGAGGTCTAGGAATTAAGAACTTGAAAGCACAAAACAAGAGTCTTCTGCTAAAATGGCTATGGAGACTGGCAGCAGATGAGCAAGGCCTGTGGAAGGACATCATCATTGCAAGATATGGTAGGGAAGGACCATGGACTACTCAGGAAGTTAAAATTCCTTATGAAATGGGACTATGGAGAACTATCAGAAATCAATGGCCAAAAATGTGGGGTAATACTGTGATCAAAGTGGGCAATGGCAGAAAGACCTTGTTCTGGAATGATGTATGGGTGGGGCAAACACCTTTAAGGCAACAGTTTCCGGACATTTATAATCTTAATCAACAGAAGCTAGCTACAATCTCACAGATCAAAAATGCACAAGGTTGGAATCTGTCCTTCAGAAGATTCCTCAATGACTGGGAAGTGGAGAGAATGATCCAATTCTACAATACTTTGGAACAAGCTAAGAGCCTTAATTTTGAGGAAGATAGATTGTTGTGGAAGATGGATAAAGATGGCAAGTTCAAGGTGAAATCAGCATACAAGCTACTGGATATCTCAACTGAAACCAAGGAAGGTTGGCCATGGAAGATGATCTGGAATTGGATGCGTCAGATTTTCTGGTTGTTAGTGTTTTGTGATCATTGTCCAATCTCTTCCTTACAATTGCTTATTGTTTTTGTAATGTAATTGTTAGCCTAATCACTTTTGTCAATTTTGCAGGTACAATTCTATTTCTTTGGTAATGAATAGACCCAAAGGATACTAACTGCTGCTTTAACCTCAAAGTCAGCATCTATTACATGAAAAAGGGCATACAGGTCAACAATGAAGCGTTTTGTTTATATTGATGATGATGATTTGTCAAACAATATTTACTGTGACAACCGGATCTCAAACAGAAAATATACTGTATGGAATTTTCTTCCAAAGAACTTGTGGGAACAATTCAGGTAACTTTCTTAATTTGTTACATAGAAGTTCTGCATTCTATATTAGATTGAACTTGCAGCTTTGAGATATTTCCATTTTGGTTTTGTCACGAATGTTTTGCTATCAATAACGATTAGGCTATCACAAAATTCATTTTATCCTCAGTACACAAAACACAATTTCTTGAGGGCGGACATAAATTCTCTTATTTTACTTTTCTGCTTTACTTTTCCGTTTTGGATAAAGGGCCCTGGCTAATGTAGAAAATTTAGAGGCAACATACTAAGTTGAGATGGATAGAACAAGATGATGAGGGGCTTCTCATCGGGGAGAAGAGGGATGGGAGAGTCTGATATAGAGGGAGATGATGGTCTCATAAGAGATGGGGGGCTAGGAGTAACTTTACTTTCAATTGGCACTCTTGGGGTAGTTGTTGTGTATATTCATCCTAGAGGAAAATTACATTATGGAGAAGTATAAAACTGTGAAACTTGGAGTAGCGAAGACTAGATGTTCCATGTGTGTATGAAAGGGGATCATGAGGGAAACAAGTTCTTAAAGCATATTGATTGCACGTAGAGGCGTATGCAGGAGGGGGTCCCCAGGTTCACGTGAACCCATGCTCCCCTCCCGAAATCATATATAGTAGTGTTATATATTTTAATTTTTTGTTAAATATAAATGTGTGAACCCATACTTGAAGTATCATATAATGCGACGATGATTGGGTGCACCTCTCAGTGAGGTTAGGAATTTGACTTTTATATCTATCTTGTTTTATTTTTCTTTCTAAAATTTGGTAACATCTCTCTAAGTGGTTATTGATAGCACTTTTTGTCGTTTTAATTTATTAAGCATTTCAATTTTGGAACTATAATTTAAAATTTTAACCGGTTTAAATGATAAGAACATAAATGTCAAACCGATTAGATCCACATTTTCATAATAGTGTACTCATCCCAAAATCCTGGATACACCTCTGGACTCATTCACTTGCACGGTGGAAAAGGGCAATTGTTAGTTTTGGAATGATGTGTGATGTGAAGGAACTATCTTACAGGAGGCAACACCTTGGGCATCAGGGGTGGAAAGCTATAAGAAAGTTTTGGCGTTTGATTATTTGATGAGGATAGTGGGGATTGTATATAATTTATATGACGCACTAATTTACTACTAAAACTTATCACTAATTTGAAGATCCTTATATACTTTGCATCCCTTAAGTTCTAGGTAGAGAGACCAACTTGAGTTTGTTTATTTTAGCAACAAAGAAAAAAAATAAACGATCACTGAGTTATCGTTGGTAAACTTGCCGCAGAAAAGTCTGTCGATGAAATCTTATTATCATGTTGGAATGTTGTGCAATAACAATGGTCGGAGTAGTGGTCCGGAAGAAGTGGTGCTGTGAGAATGATGGAAATAAGGCGTATTGTCGATGGAATGGTCATTGCCAAAGAGGTGGTATAGCCAATTGGGTCACCATAAATAAGCTTGCTGCTGCAAGAATAGTCAATGGAAAGAGATGTAGTGCTGCCGGAATGATCACCATGAATAGCTACAAAAAAAAGAAGAAAGTATAATATAAATGAAAATAAAGACAAACTTTGCAACAGTTGGAGGTGGATGGAGCTATCATCAAGGACCCTGATACTATTAAGGAGGCAGTGCAGAAATTTTATGAAGGCCTTTATAAGGAGACTGAGCAGTGGAGTCTTGGTTTGAGACTTCATGATGTATCTAGGATTACTGAAGAAGAACAAATATGGCTTTAGAGGTCTTAGAAGGAAGAAGGAATAATGTAATGCCTCAACCAGTGTGTTATGGAGAAGGCATCATTAACACCATTCAGGTTTTCCATTCCAATCAAACTTTCGAGAAGAGTTTTAATGCAACTTTCATTGCCTTGATTCCTAAGAAACCAGGAGCCTCTAGTTGCACATCAAGCAGTTCTGACTCAGGACAACCTTATGAAAAGGGGAAGGCAGTTATGCTCCAGATGTTTTTTTTGTGAAGCTGAAACAGAGACAGTAAACCATCTTTTTTTACACTGTAAAGTGACTGAAAAATTATGGCAATGGTTCATTAATCTCAGGGGTATTAGATGGGCCATGCCAAGACATACTGTAGAAGCTCTAGCATGTTGGAATAGGGATGGAAATCAATCAGGACACAAGGAGAGATGGAAGATTGTCCCTGCATGCATCTGGTGGACAATTTGGAAGGAGAGAAATCAGAGATGTTTTGAGAACAAGAGCATTTCCTTCCAAAGTATGAAGATGAACTGTCTAGCAACATTCTACTTTTGGTGTATTCAATCTGTACCTAAGGATATAGGGGACATCACTCTGTTTTTAGATAGTCTATAATGGATATAGGTGATAGATTTGTTTTGGATGTTCCTTCATATTTTTGATGTAACTACTTAGGAGCACACTATTGGTGTACTTCCTTCTGTTTATAATACCAGTTAACTTTCTCAAAAAAAAAGAAAGTAAAATCAACTATGGATTTCGTCTGTTGTATAAAGATGACATAGAACTTGAGGCCTTGAATTGGGACAAGGAGGAAAATAATGATGATCAACCAACAGAACATAGCATTGGGACCTATGTTGCTCGGACTCTTCAAAATTGTTGCCTCACTCGTCAACTTTTTTGATGAGTCCAACAAACATAGATTGGGACAAGGAGGAGAAGATATGACAGTAGTGAACACCATGACTCCGTAACCAATTAGGTCACATTCTAATATTCATGGGATACACTTTGCAGCTCATTCTTCCAAATATAGGTAATATACTACTAATCCATGGGTTCAAAACTTCTTAATATATCAGAGGTAATCTCTTTTTTAATAACAACTATCTCTCTTGTTATGACAGGGAGGTCGGGGA